GTGGAGTTCGGTACTTTTGTTATTCTACTTTTTCCCAATTCTATATCTTATTCTAGCTAATCGAATTCTATCCACATCATACGACAACTTATCAGAATCATTTTTTGTTAGGTTATAATTTCAAGATGGCGTGAATATCGAATGAAACTAACAGCTTCGCACATTGATGCGAAGCAAATAGCTCATACGTAATTCATGTAATTTTTTGGTTTTTTTTATTTAGGCCTAACCATGGTTTTATTTCTTCGGTCTACGTGTTGTTCAAAGCAGTGTTTCTTTGTTGATTTAGCTACTGTTTTTGTACGCAACTTAAAAAAGTCAAATTCCTTCTCTTTCTTTTTGTAAAGAAAGCTCTATTACTAAACTAAAAACTCAAAGATACCAGGCGGCTTATACCTTTGTATTACCTTTGTATGACACTCGCGCTTCGTCTACAGAAGACTCATCCGTGACGCTCGAATCAGTCAGTTGGAATGCCAAATCAAGAACTAAGTTGAAGAGCAATAAAAACCGAAATTCCCAAATGTTGTGCGAAATGGGGCTAAGATAAAAGGGCAATTGTATAATCGTCATTAGTCTAGTATGCATTGTGTTAAAACATATATAAAAATCATGATTATCAAATAAAATTACCTTTACCTACAAATAGGTACATATTTTGATTATACGAATAGTAGAATTACCTCTATCCATTTATTTCCTTTTTATGGATTTTGCTACGACTTTGAAGAAAATCAACCTAATGGAAAGGAAACTTTCTATAATAAACCTTTCACCATCACGAGTTGGCCGTTATGAAATATTTGTTTCACAGATGACGAAGAGGGTGAAACATCGACCTCCATACCTGTAGAGTCCGGCGTACCACAAGGATCCGTTCTGGGACCTAGCCTATTTTTGTTTTATATAAACGATATGCCCCAGGGGATTAAATCAACCGTACGACTGTTTGCTGATGACACTATTGCTTATCTCACAATCTCATCCAATGCAGATGCCGCAAACTTACAAAAGGACCTTGACCAACTGGCTGTATGGGAAACAACATGGCTTATGAAGTTCCATCCAGACAAATTTAATGTACTCGCCATCTCCAAAAAGCGAACTCCATCAAAGTACAACTACACACTACATGGCCATAACCTCGAACATGTAACATCAGCTAAATACCTGGGATGCACTATTTCATCAGATCTTAAATGGGGGAAACACATAAGCTCCATCTGCTCCAAAGCCAACAACACCATTAGCTTCTTAAAAAGGAATGTTAACATCTCAAACAAGTCGATTAAAGAAAAAGCATACATGTCCCTCGTCAGGCCTACTTTAGAATATGATAGTGCAGTATGGGACTCATACCAACAGAACGACATCCACAGATTGGACATGGTGCAAAGACGGGCAGCAAGGTATGTTACTAACAGATATCACACCACCTCATCTGTTAGTAGCATGCTTGAACATCTTGAATGGTCTACCCTACAAGAACGAAGGAAACATAGCCGCTTAATAATGATGTATAAGCTACAAAACAACTTTGTCAAAATCGATACATCCAGTAAGCTAATACCGAATGAACGCCCTTCCAGAAATAACAACGAAAAGGCACTTAGAATACCATCATGTAAAACAACTGTACGGAAGGAGTCGTTCTATCCTAGAACAATCAGAGAGTGGAACACCTTGCCCAACTCTACTGTCTCCGCCCTGAGTCCTGAATCCTTCAAGGCTCAGCTCCGTCATTAGATTTAAATGCCAAGTTTTTAATTGTTTTTGATATATACACCTGTATATATATTAAATTGCATTCTCTTTTTGTTTATTAAATTTCAAAAATATTTCATGCGCTCACTCCAAAATGTGGCAGAATAGTCAACCAGTTGACGGTGGCCGCTTACCGGAAGAAGACGAAGAATATGTTCCAATCGTCGTAACCGCAATCCCGTCCTCCTTTTTTCCTGAATGTGACCTAACGAATTATACTTATCGCTGGGTCTGTACTCGCATTAGTAATACGACAGGTACCACATATAGAGAAAGATATGCTTACCCTTCAGGAGCACTTGAGATAACCGCCGGTTTTTGGTGGGGTTCGTGTTGCTCAGTCTTTAGTTATCTATTTTGTGTTTTGTATACTGTTGTTTGTCTTTTTGTCTTTTCCTTTTTTTTATTAGCGTTGTCAAGTTTATTTTCAACTTGAGAGTTTGGATGTCGCTTTGGCATCTTTTGCCTCTCTCTTTCAATACATTACATATCACCAAAATTTTAAAAAAATAAGTATAAATGGACATGTGGACAACGGTATACGTACTGAAATAAGTCTTGTTAACGAAGAATGTATACAACGGAACAACGAAAGTGGTGTGTTGATGTGGTTTTACGTAAACAGCTATCATGGTTCTTACAATGTATCAAGGATAGAAAATCTCATTTGCTTATATTTTAATTTGTGTGATCATATTCACGGTGAGTGTTAACTTAGTGTAGCTGGATACATAGGTAATTAACAAGTAAAGGGGTACATTTGTGTGATTTTGCGTAAAAAGATATCATAGTTAGTATAATGTATCATGAATAGAAAATATGAGTGTCTTATATTTATATTATTGTTTTTGCGGTCTTATTGACGGTGAATGTTAACTTAGTGCAGCTTGATGATTAGCCAATTAACAGCTAAAGTGGTACATTGGCGTGGTTTAGTGTAAACAGCTTTTACAATCTATTAAGGATGGTTGCTTATATTTTTATTTTTTAATTGAAAAATATAAAAGATATCAGTATAAATAGAATTGAATCTGTATCATAAATTTGAAATTCTGTTTTAAGTATAAAAATTTAAATTGGATGCATATTTGTAATTTGATTGTCTAATTGTTAGTCCTCCTTCACGTACACCACCCCTTTGTTGGAATGTGGCAACACAATTCACATTTATTAGAAGAAATATTGTATGTAAGTAATATTATACATATTTTTCCTGTTATCAATTATATCAGATTTGGTTTTGTTTCCTATCTTTGTATTGACGGTGATTGTTAACATAGTGTAGCTTGATAAATAGTTAATTAATCTTTTTAATGGAAACATCAATCATAAAATAGAATAATATTTTTTTAGTGTCATTGCAATTTAATTTGTGTCTTGCGCACAGGAAGTCAATATTGTTATCGAAATATCGGTTTCTTAATATATTTACTTCAAGTCAATTGCTTTTTAAGACTTCTTGAAGAGGGAAGAGATTATTGGTTGGCAATGATCAAAAACATTATAATGAAAACAATCACATTTAATGAAGCTTTCTAATGAGTTTTAGCAACATTAAAATTGTTCATGAGATTTACACGTGGAGTTTTTAATTTCTTTTAACTATATTGTGTCTATTATCTGACGGATGCAATTATTTAAGCTTTTGGTATAATTTATTGCATGAAAACTATAATTTACCGTATATCACGGATTTGTGAATTCTGGTTTAGCTCATCAGGCTTGTTCGGACCTTGCGGTGATGTAAAATCTTCGTCGTGTTCATTGTTCGCGATTTAAAATGCATTTTAAATGAATAGACTAGCTGCAATAAACTTCCCCTTTTTAAAAATCTCTTTCCGACTGTTGTTTCAATTGTTCTACTCCAGCTTTGTGGATTATTTGGTTCGATATAAGCACTATTTAAGGAGGAGGGGCGGCGAGACAAATTATCATATGTCAAGCTTCCCAGCTTATTTCAACTCGCCTCTCATATATTCCTTTCAATTTGTATCCTCTGATTGAAATGAAATGGTGGGCATCAAGGTCAGTTGAAATAAAAGAAAACTAAATGGCTGTATCTGTAGAATTCTTATTTAAAACGGGATATCACAACTCTATTTCCTTGCGGCGATGATTTTGTAGAGCCCGTCAATTTAGATACGATCCATGTAAACTAATTGATCATTTGAATAAACTTCTTCTTAGACATTTATCAGTTTAACACCGTTGGAAAATCTTTAAATATTGTTTTTATTGGTACTAACCTTGATTTTGTTTTTGTTCTGCCCTGAAAAGTTGGAGGGGGAGTCTAGCCTTAGAGCCCGTACGAGCTATAGGTTTGAAGCATACCACTAGGTATATATGTATATCAAAAGGTCTGGATGGGGTCCTTCGTTTCATAATTCTTTTTTTTTTTAGATCATTCAAGTTCTCTATTCTAAAAAAATATTATTTATCTATTTTGCCCATTTTTGTTCTTTGTTTTCAATACCCCATTATTTCAATAAACTTACTATGATTATTCACTATTCTTAATTATTTTTCCCCGGCTATTCTTTATATTCGTTGCCCCTTATTCTACACTTTTTGTACACAATTCTCTATTTTGAAATCCCATCCTCACGCTCATAGCTTAGAGGGGTGACACGGGGGTGCGCATGCATTTTCCAAGCCCGTTTAAAAAAAAATTCCCACTTCCAACCTTTTCCCCCCTTTTCGGAATTCCCACTATATATCGCACATTCCAAAAGCGTGTCACCCCCTTATGTTCCTTAAAGATTATTCTCGGCTCACGCTGACGATCTTAGTACAAAAAACATTCATGTTCACATGCATGAGAGCCAGTCTGGATTTTTTTGGGGGGAGGGGCCGGGGATGTGTTCATTTGTATATTCTTTATTTTTCCGGCCAATTTTTCTCCATTCTTTATAAGATTAGCCCCTTTTCTGTTATCTTTTTATTTTAGCACCCCATTATTCTGTTTTCATTATTTTTTACCTATTTTTATCTATTCTTTATTTGTTCACCCTTTTCCTGTATGTATAGTTTTGGTTCAGTCCCCTTTCTAGACTCTAATGCATTGAACTGTTTGCCTTTGTACCATTTTGTTTGAGAATTTTCAGTACTCTCTGCGTAAGCTGAGATACTGTCTCACCGATCGGCATTAGCTGCTGCAAAGCAGGATAGGGGAACTTTAGTTTGCTTGGCCTTCTTCGGATAAAACCGTATTTTGCCGAAGATTACCGAACACAGTAAGGAAATCGAAACTGTAAACAGGAAGTAGCAGCTTCCTCTTTCTTTTCCTACTTTCGTTTCTGGACGCGCAGTTTTCCTCTTTTAAAACAAAGAAAAGAGTTATAATTTTTAAAGTAAGTTTTTGTATGATTTTCTAACATCTGCTTATTAATGACTGACAAAACATTTAGATACGTCAACAGTACTCGCAAACGGTTCAAACATGACTTGTCAAGTCTGTAAAAAATATTGATATGTCTAAAAATATCTACAGTGTATAACATGAGGGTAACCAAATTGCTATTATTTTGACAGATTTCACCATCGTTTATTTAAGAAGCAAAGTATGTTTATTTTGAGGATGTATAAGATAACAATTGGGGCTATTTACTACATTTATGATAGATAGTTCCACAAGTTCATGTTTGAATCCATACTAACTTAATGATTTGTTTTATTTCTTCATATTTTCAGAAGAATTTGACAAAAGTCCATGCTTTTTATGCATTTTGTAAGAAATGGATGCTTGTGACATATTTTAGCTCTTGATTTTTAAAAGCCAACCTTTTTGTTGACTTCGCTAGCAATGTTTCCATAAATTTTTCTGTTTTTTTTTTTGTATCTTTAACTTAATTTGTTTGAATATATTTTTAGATATAATGCTGAAAGACCTGCATTTAATGACAAATTTAGTCTATGAAAAGCTTTAAGATTTCCATCACTCTATCAGTTGTAAAGCAAACTCTTAGAAACGTTTGTTGCTACTTTCGAAAGATAACAATGGACTGGCATTAAAACCTGTCATTTTGAAGTGACTGACAAATATACCCACCTTTTACATGTTTTTAAAGTCATTCATTTAAAAATTTTGCAAACACATTTTTTTTGCAAAAATCCCTTTTAAAGAACTTTTTTACCTAATTTGCTCTCATTAACTGGACATGGAGTTCTAGACACTGTGTCCTTTCATTTAAGGTTGTCTTGCTTTAATTATGTTATTATTCGGAAATAAATCTAGTCCTGTTTTCTGTTGTTTTTGTACATGTTGTCAAAAGTCTGTGTTTACATATGACTTCACAGTTGTCACCTTTTGTATGGAATGCAATAAGTTGGGTATTTTATTTGGTTTTCAATCTTCTTCCCTTTATAGAATATAAATAAGTGGCCTTCAAACAAAATCATAATATACTTACCTCAAGTACAAATGAAGTATGTGCTGAAACATGATGTATCTATGTAACTTACCAAATTCAATAATAGATCATGTAGCTATATATATATATATAGATCACTGATTCATTATATAAAAATGGAGCGGGTTGTCTGGCCTGAGCTGCAGTCTGACAAAATGACGGAAAAAATTTGTAGATAAAAAAAAATTACAAAATTTTCCCTCCATTTATATATATATTCATATAAAAAATAAGATGTGGTATGATTGCCAATAAAACAACTCTCCACCAAGCTATAAAAGGCCCCCAAAATGACAGATTGGCATTGAGATTTAGTAGCCCTGTGGCTGGAACATACAATATATTCAATCATAATGTGCTATTTTCCAATGAATGAACATGATGAAGGATTAAACTCCTTCAAGTCCAAAAGTGAAAATCATCAATTTATTTTAGATCAAGATCTAATCTGTTTCCATAATCATGATAATGGGACTCGTGCAATTTGGGTACTGTGAAGTTATACATATGTATAAGCGGCCAAGGGACCTTTTTTTTTTGGAATTTGGGATTGAGCCGTTTAATTTGCAGGAATTTTGGAATACCCAGTTAAATCATCATGAATTTGGAATTTAATTATATCATTATGCAAGAACATGAATACTTTATTAAACCAATTATCAGGACATGCAGGAAGGATAAGAGACATGTTAATCATATAGTTATTACAAATAGACATATAAGTAAAGAAACAATAATGATTATATGGATTTAAACGATAGCATTTGTTCTCTTATTGTAAAACATTTATAAAAAATCAAAGCCAGTTTTGAATATTTCTTCATTTTCACATAAAGGAAGCCAAATAAATCTGTTTTCTGTATTTAGGTTTTAGAAATTTTTACATATTTTTAATACAGAATCTAACTTAACTCATTGTTGTTGTTGGAATGCTAGACATCCCATCATGCAATGAATGTCATCTTCAGTTTAATGAACAATATTTACTAATTCTTTTAAAATTTGTAAGGGTAGACATGTGGTCCGAGGACACAGTTATCGTCCTTTGATTTTCGTTGTCTACAAATATAGTCCCTAGTGTGGACAGTGTTAATAACTTGCATATTTTTTTCATACACTTTCCAAATTCATTTCTTTATTTTTTATGCATGAAATATTAAATATGGGGATAAAATTACATGTTAAAAAAGTTTGGGTAAAGTAGTGATTTGGTCCAGTTAAAAAGGGTAAAAAATTAGTATGTCTGAAGCTGTCAAACTGAATTTTAGACCCCCTTAACATAGAATTGTCCATATTTTGAGTTAGAGCTGGTTGACATTTCTATAAATTTGATATTGTTTGTCCCAAAATTAGTACACTACACTGTAGAATTCTTTTTGAGATAGAGCAGGTGCGATTTTTTAATTTGAATTTATTGTCTAAAAGAAATGCACTACGAAATAACTGCTCTTGGGCCATGTTAATTACCTAAGGATAGGTAGGGAGGCAAGAAACTAAAACTTTATATTTGGCCTAATGCATTGATTCAACAGTTTGATTAATTTCTATCTTAATTATTTCTATTTTTAACAGATGTTTCCAGCAGTTTGTCACCAATTTGCCAATGCCATGGGGAAGCATACTCTCATTCCATCCTCAAGCTTAGAAGAATCAACAAGAATTTCACCTTTTAATGTTGTGGCAAAGAGACGAAAAAGACGATGGATATTCTTCCACAAAATAGAGTATTCAACTTATGACTTTCCAGTAAGATAAAAATTCCAATGCATGCATGAGGGTCTGGATGGGGTTTATAGAATAGCTAGAGAATAATGGGCAAACAGTGCAGAATAAAGAGCAAACAAATAAAGAATAGAGAAAAAAGGCCAAAAAAATAAAGAATAGAGAATAATCATCAAAATAGATAAAGAATAGAGAAAAATTATCTAAAAAAATTAGGGAATAAAGAAATGAAAAACCCCTCTCCCATTCCAGACCCTTACGTATTTATAATCACTCAACAATATTGAAAAACAAAAATATAATCCTCTTCTTTACCTCAGTACTATGTCACCAGCATTGGCCTCTAGTCATACATCCAAGGGAAGAAATTTGCATCAATAGAATTTTGTTCCAAATTTGTAGGCTTATAAAGGGGAAAAAAAAAACTTTTAAATATCTGCTTACCTAAAACAAAACAGAAACCAAAGGAAAGGGAAAAGGCCTAATTCTGTCTACAGTCAACCTGAATCAGACATTATAATAACATGTAGTGGAAATTTGTCTACATACAGACAGTTTCTGCATCGCCAGGAAACCCGAACGTTCCCTTAAGATAAATACAGACAGGTAAACGATACTCCTACATGTATAGTGGAAAGGGGTTACAAATAGATGATCTCCCGCTATTTCAGGCTCCTTTAATTTGATTGGTTGGTATATAATTCCAATGAATTGAGAGTTTTTTGCTAGTTGAGTATTATTTGTAGTTTACTTAGTCCAGGCATTAAATTTACCTTTGAAAAAATTGTCAAAACAGTATCTCACCCCCTTTGGAAAGAATACCATTTTAAAAACTTTGGTCATATCTAAATTAAATCATCTGTTTCTATCTATCCCTAGTCCAGATGAAAATATGTTACGTAATTTAACAAATAAATTGTATGCTTTTATCTGGGATAATAAACCAGATAAGGTCAAGCGAGATCTTTTATGTCAAGATTATTATATGGGTGGTTTAAAAATGCTAAATTTAAAAGCATTTATACAGGGACTGAAACTTACATGGGTAAGAGGGCTGTATAACTCGAATTCAAAGTGGGTGAGATTAGTCTCTATTGTGGAGCAAATAAATTTTATTGAATTAAGTTATATTGGGCTTATTAAAAGGTCATCAAATAAATTTTGGCAAGAGGTTTTTGATGCTTGGAAAACCCTTAATCAAATTAGAAAACCAAGATGTATTGATGAAGTTCTATCTTATCCTTTATGGGAGGGAGAAAACATAAAAAAGCTGGAATTTGGACAATGCATGACCTGTTAGATTATCAGAGCAAAATTATGTCATTTCAAAATTTCAAACAATTATATCAATTTAGGCCAAATGTTTTACATTATTATGGAATAGCACACTCGCTTAATGATTTGTTAAACAAGATCAATATTGAAGTAAAGGAGAAAAAAATTCAAGCAATACTTAGTAACCTTTTAATATAAGTATTTTCTTTGAATCAAAAAAAGGTTCAAAGGACATGTTCAAAGTATTGAATGAGGAATATATTACTTTTGCTGCAAAGGAAAAATGGCAGAACCATCTTAATATGACTCAGGTATTAACTGGAAAAAAATACACACTTCGTGTACAAAATATACTAGAAGCACTAAGCTTTGATGGTTCCAATATAGAATTATCCATAGAATTGTAGGAACTAATTCACTACTTTACAAGATGAAAATAAATAGTAGCAACATGTGTAAATTTTGCAAAAAAGAACCAGAGACCATAGAACATTTATTTTGGAGCTGTCCAATGGTCGCCAGGCTCTGGCATGCACTAAACAACTGGATTTTTGAAATGACAAATATTGAACTGCCTTTGAATATTAAGATTATTCTATTTGGTATCTATGAAAATGTTTAATTGTTAAAAATAAGATTATTCTGCTTACAAAATACTATATTTACCGAAAAAAATTACAAGAAGTATTGCCAAATTCAAATGCTTTAAAAAACTATTTAAAGGAACACTTGAACTTAGAAAAATACATTTCATTTAAAAACCTCTCTGTAGAGGAATATAACAAATACTGGAGTCCCTGGTCCCCTATTATAGAATAATTAATAAATGTCGAATTTTAATTTAAACACCACAAATAGATATTGCAAGAATGAATTAGATTCCATTGTTATTAGATAATTATTTATGTTCAACCTATTGTTGCACCATTATATATATTCAATTGTTGTTTTATTATTTAATACTTCCTTTGTGTGCATATGCCATTCTGTATACCTTTGTTCATACATGTTGTGGTAGTCTATTTGTTACAATAAAGAAAATTCATTATAATAAAAAATTAAATTTACCTGATCAACATAGTGAGAAAAAATTTAAACAAATATACTTTGATAGTTTCTGATAAATTTTTATTTACAGATTTTATTAAATAATTTGACACAAATTATATGAACACCTGTCTACTGATGACAACTGCTTGTTGTCCACTTGTTTGTTTTGTTGTTGTTGTTGGATTACTGTCTCATTGATGTTATACCCAACATTTCATTTTATTCATATTGTATTACTTAGTGATGTAAATACATGTACTTTTTGTTTGAAATATAATTGTTTAAAAAATTAATCCTTTAACATTTACACTTATTTATCTTTACTAATTTCAAATGTCATTTAGATTTTTGGGTAAGACTATTTCTCAAAAAACATTTTTTGTGTGACTTTAAGAAACAAGTTAACCTTTCAGTCACTCTGACATACATGTTATGCTTGTGTGACTTTGATATTATACTGATAAGGAGATGTGGTATGATTACCAATGAGACAACTATCCACCAGACTTTCAAATGAAGTGAATGTAAGCAATTATAGGCCACCGTACGGCCTTCAGCAATTGGAAAAACCCATACCGTATAGTCAGCTATAGAAGAAGAATATTCTATTCCAATTATAAAAGGCCCTAACTTGAAAAATGTGAAACAATTCAAACGAGAAAACCAATAGTTTGATTTATAACAAAACAATTTAGGAAAAACAAATATGACATACATGAAGCAACAACAATCACTTAACTGCAGTCTCCCAACTTGAGACAGGCACTTAAAGAATGTGGCGGGTTAAACATGTTCTTTTCTTTATTTCTAAGGATATCAGGTTGCTACATGTATATAAGTTATATTTCATTTTGACATTTCCTTTCTACAGTACACGACTTTTCTGCTATATTTATTTCACAATGACTTTCATTTTGCCTTTGAGGGTTTATGTAATTATATGTGGTTAAGGAATGGTTTCCAGATGATACTTGAGTTTCCTAGTATATGGTTTTTAATTATACATGATATAGATGGAAGATATCAGGAAGGAAAAGAACACTATTGACCTTTACTTCAAAGTTCAAGTTCATATATGTATAGTTACTAAAAATAGAAATTATACAAAATCTTAGGTCAAAATTTTTGTTTCTTGGTAATAATACTAGGTTAGCTTGTCAGATTTTGATAAAACGTAACACAAGTGTTTGATAGTAGGAAAAGGAGGAGTTTGTCAATTTAAAAGACAGCTTGAATCTAAAACTAACAGCCTGATATGTGACATAACAAATAAGATAGACAGCAACTGACCAAAACCACTGAATTACGAGCTCCTGAATTGGGACAGACAAATACAGAATGTATTATACATAAAATGTAAAATGTAAAATACTACATATTTTATTTTTTTTTCTCAGTATACTTGAGTATTTCAAACCCTTAAAATACAAGACATATATATACCATATATATTTGGCATTTACTTTTATTTCCTCTCAATAAATGTGCAATTTTATGCAGCCCGGTAGCATGTTTTGGAAATGTCAACTTTACTTACATAACAAAAATTCTTTTTACTCATTTACAGCTCTATGACCTTCTAAACAGTAATGCTGTTTTTGAGTCTAAACTTGAGGAGACAAAGTTCTGTTCCTACAACCCAGAGAGCACTTACTCTCTCAGTGGTAAATTTGGAGTTGATATTATGAAAGACTTAATGGATGCCAATCTAAGTGCTAGTGATAAAGTTACTATCAGCGCCAAACTTGGAGAAGTTAACTTGTTACAGGTCGCTGATCCAGATAATTTCATGAGTGAACTCATGACAAGGTTTGAATATATATGGTCATTTTATATACTCTGCTTGTCAGACTTCTGACAAAATACCTACAACTGAAAGAAAATTTACAATAAAACAAAAAGCAAAAACAAACATTAAAAAAGATTCACCCCCCCCCCAAAAAAAACAAACATTGTTCACTGTATTTAAACATAACATTTTTTAAAGTTCATTATATCTGGGTGTTGTAAATGTTAGCAGACTGTGAAACGATGCTAAATAACTATACATGGGACCATTATAAATGATGACCTCAAAGATAATTTTATGCAGTGAAATAACATTAACTGTATTTTGTTTCTGTAAATGTGTGGTTTATTATACTTTTAAAAAACTGATATTTGTTTTGGTTTTTGGCCTCGGTGAATACATGTTTTTTTAAAATTGAATAAAACACATGTTTACCTCGATCATAATTGTATAGTATTGAACTTATTTAAAAGACACTTACCGGTATTATATAATATTGACCTTATCAAAAGGCTATAGTTGTATAATATTATATGAATATACTATAAATCAACTTATATTCGCAGATATATTTTTATTGTTTATCACTTTCATGTTGACATTTGCAACAAATTATTTTCACGACTTTCAACCTTTATTGATGTAATCATATCTCAGAACATTATATTGCTATACAAATGTAAAATGCCAAACCTATCCTGTCGCTATTTTTGCTATAATATAAACATCGTAAAATTTTCTAAATTGACAGTATAATGACCAGATGACATTACAAAAAAGGTAACAATTTTCCTGTACCATGTATTGTATGATATGATATTTATCCACTCTTGATAGTTGATTGTGTAATAAACTTATGTTTAAAACATTCTACAAGCCTGGTGTTTTAATTTCAAAGATACAACTGTCTTGAATATAGAAATATCCTTTTTCACTAGATGCAGTATTAAATTCTCTCTCTCCCTCTCTCTATCTAGATATATATATATATATTACAGTCTTCACCATTAACCATAAGTCCTCCGACCAGGCCAGTAAAAATGTTGTTGGGCCATCGAAATTTTCCTGAAAAAAAGGCCTTCATTAGCCATATTAATTTTAAAGTTTTTTATGAAAGGTGGATTTTTCAATTGGTTACAATGGTAGGTCAGAAATTTTTTTTGTGAAGACTGTTTTATATATATATATGTAGGACTCCAAAGTGCGATGGTACTCTAAAGTGCGATGGCCATGCTAAAGTCCGATGGTCTATGCTAAAGTGCGATGGTGTCAGACGCTAAAGTGCCATGGTTGTTTGTTTTTTTAAGTGCGATCAGATAACACGCTAAAGTGCGATGGTATGACATGCTAAAGTCCGATGGTGTAACGGGAATGTGGTTCAGGCAATAGTTTTCGTTTGTTGCTGAGTTCATATTACTTTTTCGTTTATTGTTTTATTTATACATCAAGCCATAGTCTTTCTCTTTTGAATTGTTTTACACTGGTCATTGTATAACCTTATATAGCTTGTATGATTATAAGTTGCATACATGAACGACATTTTGTGTTGGATGGATCATAGTTCATATTACATCTTATTTTATTTCAAAGTACAATAGTTATCCAAAAAGTGTAATGATTACATTGCAGTAGTGAGTTTATCCTGAATTTAGTGGTAGTCGTTTGTTTGTATATTTCATATATGCTATTCGTTTATTGTTTTGTATTTAAATGACATTGCTTTTTTCTAGTTTGAATTGTTTTGCACCGGTTGTTTTGAGGCCCTTTGGTCTTAATGGAATACTATGCGGTGTAAGCCAAATTGAATGATCCATTTTAAAGGTCATACTATAACCTAAAGTTGCATACAATAATGACATTAGGTTTTGGATAGAGAGTTGTCTTATTGACAATCATATGATGATACTACACATCTGTCCGTTGGGTTGCTGTCTAGTTAACGTATATTCATTATTTAAAAAAAATAACAAACCATATTGTAATTTTTTATAGAATTATTCAATTAGAAAGTAAAAATGAAGACTTTGTTTGGCACCCCAGCTGTTTTGATTAAATTTCTTTTTACAATTTTACAAATTAAGTTAACCTGTTCCAGATTATGATCATTTGTTTCTCTCTCCTTTCTTTTCTTGTGTAATAACAACCCTTAATCTGGACAAACATTCTCGTCATAATGCTGTTTAACGTTGCTAACGTCGATACTTTTGCGGAAAAACACACTTTAGCGTGTTCAGATGAATAGCACATACCATCGCACTTTAGCGTAGGCCATCGCACTTTAGCGTGACCATTGTGTTTTAGCGTCCCCATCGCACTTTAGAGTCCTACATATATATATATATATATATACACAAAACTGAGCTATGGCAGTTTATATTAATTGTAATGTTATATTTGATCAATTAGTTTCAATGATTTTTTGTGATTAATTTTCAATGATGACAATTTTTTTTCCTGCAAGGCAACTGAATATGAACCATCCATTAGTAAAGCAGATTCGTAAGTCAAAGGATACAGTTCTGTGTGTGATTCGAGGTGTTATACAGACAGCAGATAAAGCAGAGATCAAACGTACTAAAGATGAAGATGTCAAGGAAACTATGGATGAAAAGGTAAAACTATTCATGTTAAGGTTTGTCTGCACAGTTTTTATCGACCAATGTTTTCTGAAAGAAATCTGGTCATTAAAATGGTGAAGTATGGCAGGCAGGCATATTGACAATGATTACTCATACTGTTCAGGAGTTATGGTCCTTGATAGATTGGAAAATCACACTTTATGTTGTTTCCGTGTATTAACTTACGAACTGTTCAACCTATGCTTTTCAAATTTTAATATGTTGTTACCAACAACAAAATGGAGGTCAACTGTGATATTGACGATCATCAATCATACTGTTTAGGAGTGATGGTCCTTGATTAATTTGAAAATGGTGCTTTATGTCATTTTGTGCAAAAACTTACGAACTTTTCAGTGAATATTTTTCACAAATTTTGATATGTAGTAACTGATAACAGAATGGAGGTCAAGTTTGATGTTGACTATTTTCACTTTTATCATTCAGGACATATAATCCTTGAGAGATTTGAAACTAGGAACAGAACATGGCAAGTCATACTTTAGAAGACATCGAATTCATTGGTACTAGCTGCCCTCTTTAAGTTCAACAATTGTTACCTTCAAAATACAGAAAACCCAGCTCAGGTCATTTTGACAGCTCATTTCTTGTTAAAAAAAAATTTCATTGGCTAAAATTTACTCTCAAATCCATAATTGACATGTCAAAACTAATAAGAATTGAGATGCAATATTGGATAACTGGAATAAAAAATGTTACATTAGTAAAATATAATTGAAAAACATATTCATTCATTCATTCATATCTTTAATTCCTCATAAATGAGATTAAACTGAGTTATAATAAGATATTATCAGAATTTTGACCTTAGATGGATTTTGGCTACTATTGTTTAGGTCTTATTTTGGTCATATAGGCTTTCTCTTCAGTTCTTTTACAACCTTGGCATTTAAATATTCAGCTTTGAGCGTTCCTGGTGATGTTAAATCCAGAAAAGTGTGTTGGATGCATGAAATTTATAAAGTGTTGTTTTCATTTTTTGTGCCCCCACCGCAGCAGAGGGGGCATTAAGTGTTTCCCTTGTCCGTCCGTCTGTATGTACGTATGTACGTCTCGAAATTTGGTGTCTGTTCCCTAACTTTGGTTTGCCTCAACCAAATGTTATGAAACTTATACAATGCTTATTATCACAAAACACAGATCAAGTTTGAATTAGATGGCAACACTTTTACTGTTCTAGAGTTATGCCCCTTTACAATTGAAAAAATTGATGAATTTTTAGTTACATTCTCTAATTTAAGTATGCCTCAACCAAATGTTATGAAACTTATACACAATGCTTATTACCACAAAACTCAGATCTAGTATGAGTTTGAGAGCATCACTTTTAATGTTCTTGAGTTATGCCCCTTTATAACGTTATATGCAAGCAGGGGCATCATCTGTGTCACATGGACACATTCCCCATTTATTTGTTACGTTCTCTAATTTAAGTTTGCCTCAACCAAATGTTATGAAACTTATACACAATGCTTATTACCACAAAACTCAGATCAAGATAAAATTTGGGTGGCATCAATTTTACCATCTAGAGTTATGTCCCTCTATAATGTTAGATGCAAGCGGGGGCATCATCTGTGTCCCATGGACACATTCTTCCATTTATTTCCTTTTGTAATGCATTAGAATAGGATTAACAGTACTGTAGTTGAATAGTTGCCTTTGTCAAACTGTTTTCATGATTCAGTGATCAAGTTACTGTTAAGTTTTGAGCTATGGTGAGTTTTTTTTTTCCCTCAAGTAATAGGTCCACTTTATTTGGTCTATCGAATCTGTACTGTATAGATATATTCTATTTAGACTTGTATATATATATATAAAATTGAGAATGGAAATGGGGAATGTGTCAAAGAGACAACAACCCGACCATAGATCAGACAACAGCCGAAGGCCACCAATGGGTCTTCAATGCAGCGAGAAACTCCCGCACCTATATATGTGTCCATAGATATCTGAATTTTGACAGATACATGTAGTAACATTTGATATCAAAGCCTTTAAACATATTTAATTCAGTCTCAACAGATTGAGCAGGTGAGACATTTCAAGTGTTTCTTTTTAAATATGCAAAATATACGGCATGTTGAATATCACTATTTGATCTTACAGTTTATATTCTACTAGAATTATAAGTGTTTGTTGGCAGAAATAATTTATATTGTATATTTATTTTATTTTGTTCTAGTTTGTCCAGCTTTTAGATCTGTGCAAACACAATTTTTACCAAAGTATTATAGTTCTTGGCCTAATAATCATAAACTTTTGTATTTACTTCAAGTGTCTGGAATGTCACTCGCTATCAAATAAGTAATTATATAAAAACTGCATGGAATATTAGTTCTCATGTAGTTTTATAACTTTACATTTGTAATAGTGTTTTACTGTTGTTCTCTGCTGTCTATTCATTTTATGTTATGTAATATATGTTGTTATTTTTGCAATAGCATGTTTATGCTTTTACAATAAAAATTCATTCATCAATCACACATTTTCACAATTTTCAAAATTTTAATAATAATTTATTTACAAACAGGTAACTATATACAAAATAATTTTTGTAAATAATTAAAGCATCTTTCCCAATTGCAAGCAGAAAAATAACTTGAATATATATATATGTTAAAATTGGAACTTCTCTTGTTTCAATATATATATATTATAGACCCATCGCCCCGTAAGATTTATCGTTGGCTATTATTCAGTCATTTAATATATATATAGGCTATATATGATGACCTATAGTTGCTTACATCTATGTCATTTGGTCTCTGGTGGATAGTTGTCTCATTAGCAATCATCATGATCATATCACATCTTCTTATTTTTATAAAGTATGAAAATAATAAAGTTCAATGGATACAAAGATGGTAAGAAATATGCCTATTTGCCAGGAGAAAGTATATGTTGAAAGGAGTTTTCAAAATTTAATGAATCAGAAATATAAGATGTCAGTGCTAGGGAATCACTGCTGAATTTGAATTTTTACATGTATTTGATAATACATGTGCAATATGCTTTTTATAATTTTGACCTGAAAATTTGACCTGAGCCAGAAACCCCAATAAACAACAATGTAAAGATGTATTTTTAAAACTTTAATTGTTTGAGCAAATAGATTTCATTTTAGTCCATTTTTGGGGGGGTTGGGGGTTGGAAAGTCCAAAACTGGCTTTAAGTATGTTGATGTTGGGCGAATGGGCAGATAGGCAGGCAGGTGGAAGGGCGATGAAAAGTGGGTACATTATTTGTGTAATCAACACCTTCTACAGTTTTCAACCCAGATCCCTGAAACTTTAACATATTATGAAGTTGTGCTGATTTAATGGAATTGTTTAAGGATTTTTTTCTCATTTTGCCAGACATTGGAACTTCGTCATTTTTCAGTAGAATTTAGTCACAAATATTGCGGACTGTACATTTGAGACTTTGTCCTATTTTTCTAGAACTGTCATCTTTTCTACCTTTTTTTATGTGTTCATATGTGGCATTACCCCGGGGCCTTTGTCCATTGAAATTTTTGTTGAAAAGTAAAAGAATATGGTGTATAAAGAATATTTCAGCAAAATATTTACTGGTGAGGGGTGGTTCCCCTTTTAATTTTTTCAGAATACGCAAAAAAAAAAAACAGGTTTCATAGAAATTCACCTACAATTATCACTAATGATGCAGTTGATGAAAGTCTTTGTTAACTAAAACCATTATTTTGACATATGTTTTCATCAAATTTTCACATCAGGTTCGCAGTTAAAATTTGTCAGATTTTAAGGGCCAAAATTAGGAGTTATTGAACCAACTCCTTTACTTCTACCAAGATGTCATCAAATGTAATTGGATAATCTGCATTTATCATGCTTTTCTATAACATAAAGTCAAATTGCGTAAGACCACCCCCCCCCCCCCCCCCCCCCCCCTAAATTATTGAAATCTATTGTTTTGCGTTAACAATTATATCTTGGTATAAATTAGAAACACTGTTTGACTAACACCCTCAAGGGTACTTATAATACATGTATTCTTACTTTATTTTGTCCTTATGATATTTACAAGGTAACAAAAGAGGGAGGCGATGAAAGTGCCGAAATCTCTGAAAGCAAGGAAAAAGATATAACACTGGAGAAAGGAACATCACTGGCATACAAAGTCTGGGAACTGAAAATTAATGCAGAAAATGGAAAAATAGAACCCATCATGACAGCAGAATTGGAGGGAGGATTTCATCATTCAACAATGGATGATATAAGTAATTATAATTAAATGCATGAAGGGAGATGTTGGGTATTATACAATGAGACAGCATCCCGACAACACAAAAAACCTAAGTTTTAGGTCAACATAAGATCTTAAACAACCTGATTGAAATACAGGTCCTGTGTTCATACTTTTCTTACAAAGATTATACAATACTCTGTTCTGCTTTAAGTTTTTAGGTTTTGTCTTAATAATACACGCCTATCCTGTTATGAGCTGAGTACAAATAAATTTATTTTTCAAGACAATGTGTGGTTGTTCTCTTTATACTTCAACTTGTACAACCTTTCCAAATGAAACATTTTGGGTATACAAACCATCAATTTTTAACTTGACGCAGACCATTAATAAATTCAGCAAACATGTATTCTTTAATGACGTCATAAATAAGACTTTACAAAAACACATTATTAGCGTCTCAAACAAGGCAAAATACAGGCAGTGACTATTTATCACAAAGGCATATACGGCCAATGCAATTTGACTGCGCAAATAGCACAAATGCCTCTTGGTATCTTTTGCCTCTCTTTTGCAGTATAAATATAGAACAAACACACAGTGTCTTCAACAATGTACATGTGTCTATACAAAATTTTAAGCTCTAATTCATTCCAAGTATACAAATTATGAATAAATTTAACAGAAACAACCAAAGATCTGTCATTAATTCCCAATTCTTTAGATAATGAAAGATATATTAATATGATATACCACAACTACTGACAAGGTACCTGAATTGAGACAGGAACATAAATATGTGTCATGGTTAAACTAGTTTCATCATACCTCAACCCTCCCCAGTTTTAATCTTGATCAGTTGATTAAAAAAAATACATAAAAGATCATAAAATAAAAACAAGTACAGGAAAAGCAAATTAATCTAAAATAACAATATAATAGATATAAAAAAAATAAAATAATTAACGATGTATACTGTGTTTAAGAATGCTCCTCGTTACTGAAAACAAATACTTCACCTGCTGATAAGAACTGTCCTTCACTGATGAGCTGTTTTCATAAATATTGCTAAATTAAATTTGCTTTGACCAGAGTGTGTTAACTCTAGTAATTCAGACACTATATTCCACTGCTCTTTAAAAGCTACGTTTTAACCTGAATGCTAAGTCATTATTCTTTTAGAATTAGATCAGGTGTTACCTTTCTTGATAAGATTGAACAGCTAGCTGATTTACTCATTCTTCTAGTGCCAGAATCAGATACATGTTATAACTTTAGAAAGAATCATGAGAATTTAGGCCCACCCAAGTCAGAGAGATGCATTTACTATAGGGAGGACCTGAATTTTTTGGGTTAACCGTGTACATCATGTAATACATATTGTAAAGATAAATAAAGAACAGCTATATTTAAATATTTATGATTGTATCCAGTTATAAGATTTACCATGCTTTGTTCATGTAAAGCACATGTTTTTACTATACTAAAACATATGAAAATGTTTATGGATATTTTTTCAGCTACTGATGGTGATGAGTCTTCTACTAGCCCAAAAGAACAAGAAGAAACATCAGTTCTCAAACATCTAGAGGAACAACTCCAACCTTTATTTGACCTCCCTGAAGCAGAGGGTCAACAGTTGAAATCATCACTACTCAAACTCATGACTTGTCATAGTGATGTTGTCTTGCTTTCTAAACTGGTAATGAAACATTTTTTGCATTGACACAGTGTTAAGCAACCAATAATCAATCATGATCATTGCTACATTGAAATGAAATTTGGTTGGCAAAAACCCATGCATGGGTTTTATACAGACATGGTATACTTTGTCAAAGAATTGTAGACAAGGAAATGAGTTATTTCCTTTTCTTAGGCATAACAGTAAGGCCAAAATAAGGAGGTATATTTATTGGGAGTTTTCCTACCCAATCTAATTCAAGGTTATACCCTTCATTTCTTCAAAAATTTTGTAAAACGACATACATGCATCAGTTATTCAGTGTATCCCAAACTATCTGACCAACAAAATATCAGACAAAAAATCATTTGGTCAGACAGAAATATCAAGATTTTTTAGTTGAAAATATAGTAGAAAAGGTCAAATTTCTTTTTCGGTCAGACATACCCTAAAACAGTTAATCACAGACAAGTTATTGTACCCAACATATCCTTAGTATACAAATCTGTTCAAAACCTTTTAATCAATTTATTAGTTAAAACTATAAAAAGACAACAACATCATGGACTACTGCAAGGAAATGCTTTATTCTGGTCTACATGTTTCGGCACTTATGGTGGCATCTTCAGGAAGATTTAATGATCGGAAACAAATGTTGAAGTACATAAATTGAGGTTCAAATGGGTTACAAAAAGGTTAAGAAGAAGTTACATCACAATTATAGGTTTGACGAAGTTAAAATGAAAGTGAAAGTAAAAATTAATAATGAATTGTCAGTACCTTTTCCAAAATGGACAACACCTCACTTGATATTCCGTACCAAGTACAAGTCATGTGGTTTATTTTCAAAATGAACTTGAAACATGGATAGTGTACCATAACCACAAATATCATATAGTTTTACTGCAGTTTCCACAATGCCATACATGTGCAACTACCATTCATCCCACAATATTCCGGACACAATTGGAAGCAGAACCTCATTCAGAGTGAAGCCAGTTAAAATGGTACGGAATGTCCAGTGAGGTGTTGTCCATTTTTGAAAAGATATTGATGATTCAAAACTTTTTATAGTTTAATTTTTCCGAGGTTTTAAGACAACTGCAGCATACTTAAGGATCAATCCTAATTACTCTACCAGCTGTACTGTTAGAAGGTGTTGATTCACTTGATGTATAATTTATTAGTTAGTTTAAACATATTTTATCTTTCATAATGACATCTGGATCAGAGACAAGTATTACAACTTATCATATAATCAAATGAATAGTGACCAAGATGACTGAAAGCAGATTTAAGGAATACAGCTAGCTATTTAAAGATATTTTCCCATTTTCCCAATTTTTAGCTCACCTGGCCCAAAGGGCCAAGTGAGCTTTTCTCATCACTTGGCGTCCGTCGTCCATCGTCGTCCGTCGTCGTCGTTAACTTTTTACATTTTGAACTTCTTCTAGAGAACCACTGAATGGAATGAAACCAAACATGGCATGAATGTTCCTTATGAGGTGCTGACCAAGTGTTGTTACTTTGTAGCGGATCCATCATCCAAGATGGCCGCCAGCAGGGGACTTAGTTTAACATACGACCCTATGGGAAATACATACAAATATCTTCTTTTAGAGAACCACTGAATGGAATGAAACCAAACATGGCATGAACGTTTCTTATGAGGTGCTGACTGAGTGTTGTTACTTTGAAGCTGATCCATAATCCAAGCTGGCCGCCAGCGGGGGACTTAGTTTAACATAGGACCCTATGGGAGATACATACAAATGTCTTCTTTTAGAGAACCACTGAATGGAATGAAACCAAACATGGTATGAATGTCCCTTATGAGGTGCTGACCGAGTGTTGTTACTTTGAAGCCGATCCATAATCCAAGATGGCTGCCAGCGGGGACTTAGTTTAACATGGGACCCTATGGGAAATACATACAAATGTCTTCTTTTAGATAACCACTGAATGGAATGAAACCAAACATGGCATGAATGTTTCTTATGAGGTGCTGACCGAGTGTTGTTACTTTGAAGCTGATCCATAATCCAAGCTGGCCGCCAGCCGGGGACTTAGTTTAACATAGGACCCTATGGGAAATACATACAAACGTCTTCTTTAAAGAACCACTGAATGGAATGAAACCAAACATGGCAAGAATGTTCCTTATGTGGTGCTGACCAAGTGTTGTTACTTTGAAGCTGATCCATCATCCAAGAAGGCCGCTAGCATGGGACTTAGTTTAACATAGGATCCTATGGGAAATACATACAAATGTCTTCTTTTAGAGAACCACTGAATGCAATGAAACCAAACATGGCATGAATGTTCCTTATGAGGTGCTGACCAAGTGTTGTTACTTTGAAGCTGATCCTTCATCCATGATGGCTGCCAGATGGGGACAATGTTTAACAAAGGACCCTATGGACAATACATACAAATGTCTTCTTTTAGAGAACCACATACTGAATGGATTGAAACCAAACATGGCATGAATGTTCCTTATGAGGTGCTGACTAAGTTTTGTTACTTTGAAGCTGATCCTTCATCCATGATGGCCGTCAATGGGGGGACTTCCTTTAACATAAGACCCTATGGGAAATACATACAAATGCTTCTTCTAGAGGTGCACTGAATGGAATGAAACCAAAACATGGCATAAATGTTTCTTATGAGGTGCTGATTAAGTATTGCTACTTTGTTGCCGATTTACTGTTCAAGATGGCCACCAGGATTTTTTATTAAATTACAGGACCAATATTAAACCAAATTTGGCCTCACTCATTATTAGGGTATCTGTTATGATTTTAATCTATTTTTACATGATTTCCAAAACCAAAGTAGAATCAGGTGAGCGACACAGGCTCTTGAGAGCCTCTAGTTATTTAATTTTACCTAATTACACAATTTTGTTTCAATGCTTTACAGCTTGTGCAAGCAGAAATTGGTAGCTTAAAGGAAGAGAAAAAAAACCATAATGATCTTATTGTCAATAAAGATGAAACTTGGATGGTGGCATCATTAGCAGGTGTTAAAACTGAGGTAAAATTTATGCTAGTGTGACACGTCTTATTTCTATATCAGTATTGTCCTTTATGTTTTTGCAGACAAAATCTATTTTTTGATAACACAGTAAGATGAAACTTTGACAGTGGCTTTATTAGCAGATGACCAAAGGAGTATTAAGGCCCGATTTTGGCCAAAGAAAATAAAATGCTTGACAACTGTTTCAAATTTGCACATAATAATTGGAAATGCATAAAGTTAAAAAATATATATGAAAAGCATGAGATTTTTATCTGATGACGTGACAATTACGTCATAATATATACCGTTTTCATGAAAACAATGAAAAATACAGAATTTATGAAGTTTTCCATCATCATTTCCATTACGGAAACATTGAGCGCAGCCAAGAAACAACAAAATAACTTAAGAGAAGCTTTATTATAACTATTGACATAATCTCACCAAATATGAAGTTGTTTCTTGGGTGCGCACATACTTTGCCAGTCTAAAATATACTTAAAATTTGATGAAAAACAAGGAAAATCAAGAAATTTTTACAAAATATACAAATGTCATCAATGTTTGTTACCATGGTTACTCGTTAAATATGAAATTTGTTTGTATTTTCTGAATACCTTTTACCTTAGTCTGTTTATGACAAATTTACGAATATATATGATAACTTTTAAATTTGCACTAATATTTGGTCAAATAACAGCCTTATTGCCCCTACTCCTTTCACTTTGGGTGTTTATAAAGATAACATGCTTTTATTCCCCACCTAGGGGCATTATATTTTTCGGTCTGTGCGTCCGTTCATTCGTCTGTCTGTCCCGCTTCAGGTTAAAGTTTTTAGTCAAGGTAGTTTTTGATGAAGTTGAAGTCCAATCAACTTGAAACTTAGTACACATGTTCCCTATGCTATGATCTTTCTAATTTTAATGCCAAATTAGAGTTTTGACCCCAATTTCACGGTCCACTGAACATAGAAAATGATAGTGCAAGTGGTGCATCCGTGTACTATGGACACATTCTTGTTTGTTGTTATTGACATCTGTCTGCAGACAGTGGTTTTGATTGATAATCAATACCTAGCAACTTTCCTGATTTACTGGATATTTTCTCAGTGGGAGGTGTTGACCTAACAATTCAAAATCCCATCATGTAACTAGATACCTCAAAAATGCTTTAAATTTATAGGAGTTAAAAATATATTTGAGCTTATATAGACTCGTTTAAAACCTATATAAAATATAAGTTTAAAAACAATTACACCAGTTATAAGAGATGCACTAGGTTCTCTTGTGCTTGAAATCCCATTTAGAGATTTTGAATAATTTGCAGGCATCATAATTTTAACTTCATTAAACTTGCCACTATGAAAAAAGGAGATTGGAAAAACACAATTTAACAAAGTAAATAAGAAGTTAGAAGAAAATGATTTATTGTTACCCAATCCATTGAGGGATTTGATCAGTCTTACATTTTGAAGGGGAGATAATCAAACTTATGAATTATCACTTTTATAATGCATTCTTGATTGCAAAGTAAAAGCCTCTAGGCGACAATAGTAGCATTTTCAAGATACAGACTTAGGAAAGTTAATTTTTAGAGTGAAACCTTGCTTTAATTAAAGAAATATTATAAGAACAGTATGTTTGTACTTATCTCCCTTACCTATCAATTCTACAGCTTAGAAATAACTTCTTGGTTCCTTTAGGGCTAAGGAAAATGTACTATTTGGCCTTTTGTATAATGAGTTCAAGGAGTATTTAGTAATAAAAAATATCGGCTGCATACAACAACTAATCAGGTTATAAGCCGTACTCTTAATTCTGAATACCATATTATCTTCATAAAATGTCTTTGCCAATGTAACTCAATTGTTTATTGTAACCTATATGGTGATAGTCTGTCATAAGTACAACTACGAAACATATAGATGAATATTAGTGTGCATTGAGGAATATAATCCCAGTACTACATGTTTAAGGGGAGATAATAAAATCTTCACACTTACTTCAAAATTACAATATGTGGTAATAGTTTCTCATATTTGCACTTCCTCCTATGAAAACATGTTGGTGATATTGATAAACTTAACACAGTTCTCTAACATAGCCTGGGGTCATGCATTACAAGATTGTATCCCTCTCCAACATTTTAAAGAGTACTGTGTCTCCTAGAAGACTAAAATATTTCAAGGTGTTGAATTAACTTAATATTTTTTCACACATTTCTCCTGTTAAATTGAACAGAATCACTTCATATTTGGCCAGCAGTGCTGCAATGATGACTTGTAATGTGTGAGCACATTTCAGATCTGTTACACACCTACCTTCTGTTTGTGGGTACTTTTGATTATTATGAAAAGATTTGATTTTTTTTCAAGAACAAATGAAATTATATTGTTCATAGATTGTATATTCTTTCTCATTATGCTAACCACTTAATGGTGAACTGTTAATTTTATCATGAATTTCTTTTAAAAAAAATTTTTTGAGCCAGTTACAATTTTTAATGTGTTCATTGTGGTAAGGGAGATAATTCAGATAATTTGCAATATTTGTCTCAAACCTTAAAAAAGTAATTCAAAGAAGTAGCTGATGCATAAGTATATGTGTATTCATTCAGTTCTTACACCAAATGTAAATAGAAAGGATATTTCTCATATTTTGTCATGCAGAGTTTTTTAGAGCTTACTATTTGATATGAGTTTTGCTCTGACATTGTTGAAGGCTATACAGTGAACTATATAAGTCTATCCGAATCATTTTGCAAATAATTCCCTCAAATTCAACTGAATACTGTAAATGCAGAAATTTTTGCAATGTTTTCATCATTATGAAAACTGCAACAGAGTAGGTTTCTCAAAAATAAAAACTCACATTTTAAAGTTTTTGTCGAGCCTGCGACTTTCGTCGCAGAAAGCTCGACATAGGGATAGCGATCCGGCGGCGGCGGCGGCGGCGGCGGCGGCGTTAGCTAACTTCTTAAAAGCTTTATATTTTAGAAGGTGGAAGACCTGGATGCTTCATACTTTGTATATGGATGCCTCATGTTACGAAGTTTCCGTCAGTCACATGTCCAATTTCCTTGACCTCATTTTCATGGTTCAGTGACTACTTGAAAAAAAAGTTCAGATTATTTGTAATGTTAAATTCTCTCTTATTATAAGTAATAGGATAACTATATTTAGTATGTGCGTACCTTGCAAGGTCCTCATGCCTGTCAGACAGTTTTCACTTGACCTCGACCTCATTTCATGGATCAGTGAACAAGGTTAAGTTTTGGTGGTCAAGTCCATATCTCAGATACTATAAGCAATAGGTCTAGTATATTTGGTGTATGGAAGGACTGTAAGGTGTACATGTCCAACTGGCAGGTGTCATCTGACCTTGACCTCATTTTCATGGTTCAGTGGTTATAGTTAAGTTTTTGTGTTTTGGTCTGTTTTTCTTATACTGTATGCAATAGGTCTATTATATTTGGTGTATGGAATGATTGTAAGGTGTACATGTCCAACTGGCAGGTGTCATCTGACCTTGACCTCATTTTCATGGTTCAGTGGTTATAGTTAAGTTTTTGTGTTTTGGTCTGTTTTTCTTATACTGTATGCAATAGGTCTATTATATTTGGTGTATGGAATGATTGTAAGGTGTACATGTCCAACTGGCAGGTGTCATCTGACCTTGACCTCATTTTCATGGTTCAGTGGTTATAGTTAAGTTTTTGTGTTTTGGTCCATTTTTCTTATACTTTATCCAATAGGTCTACTATATTTGGTGTATGGAATGATTGTAAGGTGTACATGTCCAACTGGCAGGTGTCATCTGACTTTGACCTCATTTTCATGGTTCAGTGGTCAAAGTTAAGTTTTTGAGTTTTGGTCTTTTTTCTTATACTATTATGCAATAAGTCAACTATATTTGGTGTATGGAAATATTCTATGATGTACATGTCAGTCTCGCAGGTTTTATTTGACCTTGACCTCATTTTCACAGTTCATTGCTCAGTGTTAAGTTTATGTGTTTCAGTCTGTTTTTCTTAAACTATAAGCAATAGGTCAGCTATATTTGTTGTATGGAAGGATTGTAAGCTGTTCATGTCTGCCTGGCATGGTTCATCTGACTTTGACCTCATTTTCACGATTCATTGGTCAATGTTTAGTTTTGTTGGTTAAGTCTGTTTCTTAGAAACTATAAGCAATAGGTCAACTATATTTAGTGTATTGAATGATTGTAAGGTGTACATGTATTTCTTGTTTGGTTTATATGACCTTGACTTCATTTTCTTGGATCATGTTAAGTTTATGTAATAGTTGTAGTAAAGCTTTCATTTAGGACTATCAACATAATATCAATGGTTAGTAAAGAAGGCGAGACATTTCAGCGTGTCCACTCTTGTTTAATCAAGCACTATTTGTAAGCAGAATTTACTGAAATTAATCTTGCATTGAGAATTGATTTTAGTTTAATCAGTGCTGTTTAAGAGAGGCTAATTATATATATAATGATCCTGTAAATATGATTACAAATTTGACAACTACATGTATTGTTTGTTCAATTTACAGGAAGAGAGTGTAGTGTATGAAGGGGAAACAACTCCAATCTTAGCAGCTGTTGCTCATCTGGTGGATGCCATGCATGATGTGGAAACACAAGATCTTGAGAAACTTTGTCAGTGTAATGAAGAACAGCTAAAAGCATTAGCAAAAATTGTAAGTAGATATCCTGCGACTCAATTCACAAAAAATCTTACGAGAAAAAATACTTGTAAGTCATGAACATTTCAGTATAGCTTACGATTAATTTTCATCGTAAGATTTTTTGTGAAAAATGCCCCTGGGTTTTTATTTAAAGAGGTAAAATTATGACAAAAGATAAAATTGTTTAACACATCAAAGTTATATTTATTCATATGGTTGAGGAAATTAAACAAGCAACACTGAACATTTCAATCAATCCAAAGGGTTACTGAACCCCTTCTATCAAGCAGTAAGAAATAAACATATAACTCTGCTTGTCTTATTGGAGACATTAAATATGAAGCATGTGTTGGGAGTGTTTAACTCTATTTTGTACTCAATTATTCTTCCAAATACTGTCAAAAGTGTCTGTTCTTTCTGTCTGACAGTTTGTCTTCATTTTAGAATCTAACAATTGATACATTCCTTTTATGGTAATGAAAAAAAAAACCTTTTTAGCTCACCTGGCCCAAAGGGCCAAGTGAGCTTTTCTCATCACTTGGTGTCCGTCGTCCATCGTCCGTTAACTTTACAAAAATGTTCTCCTCTGAAACTACTTGGCCAAATTTAACCAAACTTGGCCACAAACATCATTGGGGTATATAGTTTAAAAAATGTGTCCAACCAAGATATGGCTGCCATGGCTAAAAATAGAACATAGGGGTAAAATGTAGATTTTGGCTTATATCTCTGAAACCAAAGCATTTAGAGCAAATCTGACAGGGGTAAAATTGTTTATCAGGTCAAGATCTATGTGCCCTGAAATTTTGAGATGAATCGGACAACCCGTTGTTGGGTTGCTGCCCCTGAATTGGTAATTTTAAGGAAATTTTGCCGGTTTTGGTTATTATCTTGAATATTATTATAGATAGAGATAACCTGTAAACAGCAATACTGTTCAGCAAAGTAAGATCTACAAATAAGTCAACTTGACCAAAATGGTCAGTTGACCCCTAAATGAGTTATTGCCCTTTATATTCAATTTTTAACCATTTTTCGTAAATTTTTGTAATCTTTTACAAAAATCTTCTCCTCTGAAACTACTAAAACAAATTTAACCAAACTTGTCCACAATCATCATTAGGGTATCTAGTTTAAAAAATGTGTCCGATGACCCCGCTCGGGAACCAAGATGGCTGACATGGCTAAAAAATAGTACATAGGGTAAAATGCAGTTTTTGGCTCATATCTCTGATATCAAAGCATTTAGAGCAAATCTGACAGGATAAAATTGTTCATTAGGCCAAGATCAATCTGCCCTGAAATTTTCAGACCAATCAGGCAACACGTTGTTGGGTTGCTGCCCCTGAATTGGTAATTTTAAAAAAATTTTGCAGCTTTTGGTTTTTATCTTGAATATTATTATAGATAGAGATAAACTGTAAACAGCAATAATGTACAGCAAAGTAAGATCTACAAATAAGTCAACATGACCAAAATTGTCAATTGACCCCTTTAGGAGTTATTGCCCTTTATAGTCAATTTTTTACAATTTTCATAAATTTTGTAAACTTTTGTAAATTTTTACAAAATATTTTCCACTGCAACTACTGGGCCAAGTTCATTATAGATAGAGATAATTGTAAGCAGCAAGAATGTTCAGTAAAGTAAGATCTACAAACACATCACCATCACCAAAACACAATTTTGTCATGAATCCATCTGTGTCCTTTGTTTAATATGCACATAGACCAAGATGAGCGACACAGGCTCTTTAGAGCCTCTAGTTTTATTTATTATTTTTTTAATAAATACTATGAAAAATCAGATTCATTTGCATAACTTAATTTTTCCCTGGGTTTTACAAGTTAGTGGCAAATCAGACAATGTTGAAAAAGCATCATAATAAGACAAATTAGTGTTACTTGCACATTTTGCATTTAAAATTAGTAAACAGCAGAAAAACAGCCAGAAATCAAATACAAAATACAAGAAAAAAGGGATGAAACAGTCTAAAAAGGAAATGCAGTTTTAATATGTTTATACATAGAAAGGATTACCAAAATTAACAAAAATGTTGGACAGACCACAACATGATCAATTATCAACACCCGTGCCATTTAAAAAAATATCCTTATAAAGAAAGACAAACAACACAAACAATGCATGGTCAAGATAGCCTGACTCGGTACAGGCACAAAGATAGCCTGACTCGGTACAGGCACAAAGATAGCCTGACTCGGTACAGACACAAAGATAGCCTGACTCGGTACAGGCACGACATTTAGTAAGGGATAAACAATATGAAAAAAAGGAGATGTGGTATGAATGCCAATGAGACAACTATCCACCAAAGTTCAAGCAATTATAGGCAACCACACGGCCTTTAACAATTAGAAAATTGTTTTCTTGTGCACAAATTGCAAAAAAAAACCAACTCTTTTACAGTTGGTAGTTAATGTTGATAATCTTAAATCTTCATTTTCAGTTTAAGAGTGCAGTGTCTAGTAGCATGCCAATACCTATAGACACAGAAACATCTCCTGCACTAGAGGAGCCTGCAGAAGGTATTCTCTCTGACTTGAAACTCACAGTGTATAAAGACAATGGGACTATCTTACCACCAGAGACAAAGACCCATATCCATGAGTGTATCTACTGTATTCTACACTGTGTCTCTTAAATTGTATGTCCTTGACACTGGGGACTGGACTGAGGATATATTACTTACAGATTTGATAACCTAAAATTTAACACTTTATTTGCATATTGTTCACTGTTTACCAAATTTCATTGATTCTGATGGGTTGGTTTAGAGTTTTTGTGGTTATTTCATCTTTCGTCAAACAATTATTACTAAAATAAAAATGCTAACTCACTTTTATCTGTAGTTATACGTCAAGTAAACTTATATGTTGGTAAAAAAAAATTTCAATTTTTTGACACAGCTGTTAATATCTTGATCATCAGAATAAAATTAAGGTCAATTGATTGAATTTTGTTCTATTCTTTTGTGAAATGGTTCTTTAGGGATCTACTTTTTTACAGAGTTAGTCTAAATTTTACCAAATCCATGTAAGGTTTGCACTCACATAAGGACTGATCTGATAAAAGGAAAACAGCTTTTCGTCTAATTGGCATTTCAATCTTCTAAGTACAGCTTTGTTGTATGAGGTATTGTCTTTCTGAACTAGAATGTATTCTAACAATTACTTTTAGGGTAAAGATATAGCTCAGAAATAGCTTAAATGTATGGCAGCAAATTTAGTATTTATATTTATTGAATACAATATTTTGTAGCAAATTATATTATGGCATATATACTTAGAAATAAGATATTTTATTCTGCAACAGATGATTTTTTAGTAGTAGAATTGAATTATGTATAACAAAGCAAATCATGCATTAGAAGGTTATATCTTGCATGTTGATACTATCATGAATGTATATATACATGTTATTTATTAATTTTGTTATGTTTATATTTTTGTACAAGCTTTAGGGTATTTGAATTTTAACAATACAAATTATTGCTTTATAATTATGCCTTTATTTCAGAATTCTTAAATTTTGTTCTGACATTTTTCTGCCCATTTTTCTCAATATTTTATATTTTGAAACCAATTATTTTATATTCTTAATTTTTCATTTTATTTTTCTCTAATTTTTATTTTTTTGGCCTATTCTATATTCTTAATTTTTGGTCCTATTTTCCTCTAAATTTTACTGTTTTTTTACCATTATTCTCTATTCTGTACAACACATTCAGATCCTCGTGTATCAGCTATTATTGGATAAAATAAACATTCATATATATGTTTTGGGGTCACAAAAGAAAATGCTGGATGCCACAGTGCTATCATAATTGTTTTATGACATCAATATGTCAAGTGTTTCAAAATTCTAGCTCCCCCTCTATTACTGTTGATTTCGTGGTTTTGCCAAAGATATCATACAAGCCCACCGAAAATGTGTACCTTGTTGAATACTTAAATTTGTTGTTTATCTTTACCCTTAAAAATTTATGAATATTGGTACCAAGTGAATAATAATCCACAGTAGCTACAACAAGTGGAGTACTCCTTAAACTCAATTTGTAGAACAGTCTGTAGCTTAATTTGCTAATGTGCCAGGGGGCCAAGATTAAATCCAGCTGGAACAGTCGTCATTTTTGGAGGGCACATCTTGCTTTTCTAATGTAAATACATAGATGCCAACCATTACAATTTATCCATAATTGTCACATAGATGCCGACCATTACATGACATAATTGTCACGAATTTTGAACCAAAATTACAGTGTTACGATTAGAAGTCTACTTGTTATAGATTTTCGTTGATTACCTGTTCGGAACAGTTCCCTGATTAGATATCATTTTGATCATTGTGACGTTTAATTTTTGGTTATAATTTTAGAACAATAAGTTTTTGTCTGATTCGGATTATTCAGCGCAATGGTCGGTGTACCCTAACTACTTTGAATCGTAGGTGTCATAAATAAAGGGAGGAAGTATTTTATTGTCACTGTGTGCCTACTTTTTAGTATCATTATTAAAAAAAATTATGAAAAAATATTATTACTGCATACCTGCCAACTTTTCAAAACCTCCATGGGGGATTTTAAGCACACTAAGACCTAGTGCATGTTTTATACATGCTTAAAGTATATTAAATAAGATATACTATGATTTTTAAGGAGTATATATGTACTTAAATGCCATTTAACTCATTTGAATAACTATTTTGAGGTTAAGTTAAGTATATAAAAGAGGATTTAAAAAGTCGGGCCAACTCCTCCCATAGGGGATATCCCCCATAAATTGGGATAGTTGGCAGGTGTGTTACTGAAAAAATCACAAATTACGTTAAATCTTAATACTTTTTTACTGATTGCAATAAAGGGGGTTGGCATCTATGCAAATAAGTAAATTAATGTGGACATTCAGGAATAGGACAGGTAGTGAAATGTCAAACAATGTAATACTGTTATGTGTTAAGTCGTTTGGCACACCTCTTCAGGTTATAATGTAGGGTACCAGAATCTGCCATTGTTTGCCAATTGTTTATAAAATATGAATCATCCTATGAAGATATATGTAGAATTTGTCATACCATTATGCATCCATTGCTTGTTCTGTTATTTTTGTTTTGTTAACAAGATATACAATTTTGGGGAAAAATTTGTTTGTTTGTTTGTTTGATCTGATGACATTGTGTTCAACATATAAGTGTTCAGTAATTTTGTAAGTGTTTAGTAAATATCTTAGAAGAGTCAAATACTTAAATGGCTACTGGCCAGTTCAACTTGAATTTTACCTTAAAGCGTTATATATTTCAGCTTGAAATGTACAGAAAAAAAAGATGGAGTAATCTGAAAAAACCATTACATTAATAATGAATTCACCTCTTAAGGATGTACTTAGGTGAAATTTTAAAAATCTAGATAAAAATTGATACTATAAGTCAAAAGAGGATTAGTTGAGGAACAAAATAAGCTAAAAATATTGATAGGTTATGGAGCTCTTTTTCGATATATTTAATTTTTAAAAAATGGTGGGAAAAGGCTGACTCGGACTTTTACCTTATATTTGCATTGGTATTATTTGGGTCTCAAATCGAAAGAAAAGAAATCTAGAATCTGCTTAAACTTTGGTAAATGACCTTTTCTGAGCTATTGAAATCTTATATGAAAAGAAAAATGGGTGTTATGGGGCAAAATATTTTACCCTGTCATAGGAAAACAATCAAGGAGTCCGAACATCTGACAAAAATTCCTAAACCTGACCTTAGTACATCCTTAATATATTTTGGTTTTTGTGTTGACCTACATTCTGTCTCATCTAGATTCACAATAACTATTCTGCTTCTATTATATTTTTTATATGATACAAATGCTAACTGTATTGTAATCTTAATTAAATAAACTGTTAACACAGAGATATGTCTCGCCTTTTTTGTAATTTTGATACTGCAAATGTTGAAATTAAAATAGCAATACTTTAGCATGTAAGTTATGCAAATATTCAAAGTCAATGAACCATGACTGATCGTACATGGCTGAACAATCTCCATGGAAATGAGATTTGCCAATGCTAATACAACTGCATACCAAATACCATTAACTTATCATAAGTTGTTCCCTATAAACAAACCTAAACACAAACATTAACTTGTTAACTATGTAAAAGTTTCAAAGTCAATGAACCATGATGAGGGATGGGCTATATAATCTCCATGGAAACAAGATTTGAAAATGCCAATACATTTGCTTACTTTTTGCTCAATCCTGTTGCCCCTTGGTGGAGCATAGGCCACTAACGATATTTCTCCACCTTGTTCTGTTTTTTGCTAGCCTCTCCAGATCATGCCACTTGTACCCTTCTTTCTCCATCTTTGCTGCAACGTTCCTCCTCCATGTGTATCTTGGTCTGCCCCTGCTACGTTTTCCTTGTGGGTTCCACTGTAAGGCTTGCCTTGTAATGTTGTTCTTTGGCTTCCTCAGTGTGTGCCCTATCCATTGCCACTTTCTCTTTTTCAACTGGGGATTGGTTGGTCTTTCCCCACAGATCTTGGTTTGTTATCTTCTCAGGCCATCTGATGTTAAGGATGTGCCTGAGACAGTTGTTGATGAAGACTTGAAGTTTTTGAAGCAGGTTTTTTGTTGTTTTCCAAGTCTCAGCTCTATATAAGAGTATGGTTTTAACCAAATATCATTGACTCAACATTAAAGGTTCATCTTAAACTGATCTAATCACAAACTAATACATGTCAGCTAAGCAAAAGTTTCAAAGTAAATAGACCATGACTGAGGGGGCAGGGCCAAATATTCTCCATGGAAATGAGATGTACTAATGCTTATACAACTGCATACCAATTAACATTGGCCTACCACTAATGGTTCCCCTTGAACTGACCTAATCACAAACTAATACATGTAAACTAAGCAAATTTTCAAAGTCAATAGACCATGACTGAGGGGGCAGGGCCAAATAATTTCCATGGAAATGAGATGTGTCGATGTTTATACAACTGAATACCAAATATCATTGACCTACCACTAGTGGTTCCCCATTAACTGACCTAATCACCAACTAATCGATGTAAACTAAGCAAAAGTTTCAAAGTCAATAGACCATGACTGAGGGGGCAGGACCAAATAATCTCCATGGAAATGAGATGTGCCAATGCTAATACAACTACATACCAAATATCATTGACCTACCGCTAGTGGTTCACCATAAACTAGACCTAATCACAAACTAATACATTGTTGATGCCGCCGACGCAGGAAACAGCATACCTACGTCAAGGCGAGACAAAAATTGAAAATAGCATAATGTTTGTTTTGATTTATAGAACATTTTTTATAAAATAAATCTATTTTTTGTAAATCCAGAAAAGAAGCTGAGAATTATTATTTAAAATTTGTAGAACTGAGTAGTTACCTCTACTTTGGGACTGTTTGTCCCAGAGGGTATCATTAGCTCTGTAGTCACTGCTTTGGTATTCAGACATAACTTATAATATAATGTTCAAAGTCCATTTGACAGTGTGAACCTTAGATGAATTTAGTAATTCTTGTTAGTTCCCTTTTGTTCATATAGTTCCTCAAGTATACAAATATTTATACATTCTTGGCTTCCAAATTTTTTAGTCTACTTTCATGATGATAAGGCTTATCCAGAAAAGCACTTTGGACAATCCAAATTTATATGTTATCTTTATTTTGTATGACATCTAAGTTTCACCATTTATACAATAAAGTAATTCAAAGTAGATTGCGAACATCTTTTGACAACTTGCTAGACTCTAAAATTTCCAAATTTGTAACAAATTCAGTGATCGATCAGCTACACTTGCATGAATATTGTGACAAGTAAAAAGTAAGTTACAAAAATACCAAACTCAAAGGAAATTCAAAACGGAAAGTCCCTTATCAAATGGCAAAATCAAAAGCTCACACACATCAAACGAATGGGAAACAACATATTCCTGACTTGGTACAGGCATTTCATTATATAGAAAATGGTGGATTAAACCAGGTTTTATAGTTAGCTAAACCTGTCACTAGTATAACAGTATAGGTAAAAATGTAAAAAATTGGGGTACAGCAGTCAACATTGTGTTATAATCTCAATCACTTTAAAAACAAACTATGTCAAGAGAGAAAAACAAATAATCATATAGACACTCAAAAATGAAAGACAAGAATACAAAAAATGACCATAGCAAAATAACACACCCAATATTATTTCTGTTAAAGATTTACCATGCTGACCTCTAGATCTCTATTGGTTTTCTGTGTCTTTGTAATTTCCACAATTCTCTCATTCATTTCCATCAAATTCTCAAATGTATTACACCTATAACTGTTAAATTTTTATACATTGTGACTTGGATTGAGAGTTGTCTCATTGGCACTCATACCACATCTTGTTTATACACATTTGTTTGACAAGTCTGATATATATTTACTGAAGTTAGTTAAGTATAACTTATGTTACATCTCCAGAATTCTCTACTAAGACTAAAGAAAATTGTATGTATAAGTTTAAAACAAATTAAGAAATATATATAAGGTACTAATAAGTACTTATTTGGTAATTTTGGGAGATCTTTGTTTTTTAAATGTATTCATAATTGTTCTCAATTTGAAAAAAAATTAGGGCATGACATATTGAAAAGGCACAAGCCTACTTTAAAAAACTGTGTTGACCTCTTAATGTCAGTTCTTGTGTGGATGAATTGCTGTCTCATTTGTATATACATTGCATCTCTTTTTAATACTGTGAACAATTTTTATACGACCACAAAAATTTGTATATTGGTATGACGTTGTCGTCGTTGTCCGAAGACACATTGGTTTTCGCACAATAACATTAGTTTACGTGAATGGATCTCTATGAAATTTAAACATAAGGTTTATAACTACAAAAGGAAGGTTGGGATTGATTTTGGGGGTTATGGTCCCAACAGTTTATGAACTAGTGGCCAAAAAGGGGCCCAAATAAGCATTTTTCTAATTTCATGACAATAACTTGTGAAACAGTGTATTGATCTCTCTGAAAATAGACCACAAGTTTCCATACCACTAAGGGATGGTTAGGATTGGCTTTGGGGGGTTATGGCTTAAACTGTTTAGGAATTAGGGGCAAAAAAGTGAGAAAAAACAAGGGTGTCCTGGTTAATGGACAATTACTTAAGTACAATTTACAGTGTAAGTAGGTAATTCAAAAACTACTTTGAATTACCTCCCTTACACTGCTTTTAAATTATGTATAAAGAATTTTTGTATTGTCTTGAGGTGATTAGCTGTCAATTGATTTTTAGAAGTTATTATTTTAATAATTTTAAAAATGCTGATTAAGGTAAATTAATTTAAGCTATGATTATGTATGTCATTTTCTATTTTAAGACATTTTTGAAAAAGGGGGGGGGGGGGGGGGGGGGTTAAAAAACAATTGAGGGGGGGACAGTTTTTTTCTCCTCAAGATTTCAGAAATCAAAAAGAAAATCCTTCAAATTTTTTTTTTTGAAAAAAAGGGGGGGAGGTCAATTCGCAACAGCATAGTGTATTGCACAAAAGCAAAAAATTGAATCAATTCAAATCAAATAACCAATCCTAAGTTCTTTGACTACAGTTATTTTGTGTCAGAAACCTATTATGTGTCAAATATTGAATTACAATCCAAATTCAGACCTGTATCACGCGTGAATATTGTGTCCATTTTTGCCCCAAGTCTGTTCAGGGTTGGACCTCTGAGGTCGTATCCAGCTGAACTCGGCGAAGCAGTTTATTATTTACTAGAAGATGCAAGTAATATTTACTTGTACATGTATAAGTAATTTTGTAAGATTTTTGTTTTATTTTCAAGGTTTGAATTATCTCCTTTAAATCTTTCTCCAAAAATTTACTTATACAAGTAATTTTTTTTTTACAATCCCTAAAATGTTCACATTTTGGGAGGTCAAAACATGCTTAAACAGAATTTTTCTGGTTTTCTTATTAATTTTTAAGCAATTTATTAATATTTTGTGAACTACCGTAAGCATAAAAGAAAAGCTAGAAGAGGCATATACAAATTTGATGATATCACAGGGTCTTTATCTAATATAGGAAAATAATTGAGGTGCTCTTAGAATTTTGTCTTTCTCTTTTTATGAGAAAAATGTTTTCCTATGTTAAAACATATTTTTGGTCTATATGGTTTATAGGTATTACATAGTACTTTTGAATTTTGTAACAAATTGCTGAGTATGTGCAGTTTAAGATTATAAATCCTAACTGAAAAGAGAAATTTGGCTGTTATGACAAAACTACATTTTAAATCAATAATCTTCAAATACTAGCACTTTCTCTTTTAACTCATAACAGTATACTTATTTCTCCAGAAAAAGAAAGGCAGCCTTTGTTGCTGATGGACTTGTACTGTCATGAGTAAAAGCCAGATTTGTTTTTATGGGTTGTTACTGATGGTCTTGTACTGTCATGAGTAAAAGCCAGATTGTTTTATGATTTGTTGCCCAATACCATCGGTAGATATCCATGATAGTGTTCAAAAGCCCAGAGATGTGGTATCTAAAACATTTTCAACCATACAAGACCCTCATAAAATGTAGTCAAGGTCCTTAAACACCACTGAAATAGTACTATCTTCCCTTGGTGTATATTCTAGCATGTCATGTACATAATTTGGATTTAATCACTTACTGATGGCCTCATGTTTAAACTGCCATGAAAAGAAAATGCTACTTTTCCATTTGTTTGTCTGTTGGTCTCTCAGTCCATTCGGCCAAAAACAGTTTCTGTCACACTTTTGTAGGGTACACTTTTTGTACCACTGGACAGAATGACTTCATATTTAGTCATCAGCTTGGCAGTGATGAGTTGTAACAAGTGAGTGCTTTTTGGATCTTTTAAACACACACTTCTTCTT